TGACCATGAAACCCAAAAACTTCCCAGATCGTACGCCGAAGGCGCACTTTTCTGGGTTGAGCTTCATTTGGTACTTTCGTAAGGTGGCGAAGGTCTCTCCCAGGTCGGTCAGGTGATCAGCGAAGAGTTTGCTCTTGACTAGCATGTCATCAACATATACTTCCATATTCCGACCTATTTGATGATGGAAAACAGCATTGACCAACGGTTGGTAGGTGGCCCCAGCATTTTTCAGCCCAAATGGCATCACACGATAATGGTAGGTACCTCAGTCTGTAATGAAGGAGGTGTGTTCATGATCAGATTGGTGCATCAAAATTTGGTTGTACCCAGAGAAGGCATGCATGAAGCTAAGCATTTGATGACCGGTCGTGGCGTCAACCAGCAGATCTATGCGGGAAAGAGAATAGCTGTCTTTGGGGCAAGCTCGGTTGAGGTCGGAGTAGTCGACACAGAGTCACCATTTACCATTGTTCTTACGGACCAGGACGACGTTTGACAACCATCTAGGGTAGTCCATGTTTTTGATGAATTGTGCCTCAAGGAGCTTGTCAACCTCTGCGGCAATGAGAGTGTTGCGCTCTGGATGAAAGATGCGCTGCTTCTAGCGGTAAGGTCAGAAATGGGGTTCAATGCTGAGGCGGTGCGTTATGAATGAGGGGTCAATACCTGGCATGTCCGAGTGGGTTCAAGCAAATATATCATTGTCTCGATTAGGAGGGCAGTAAGGTCGGCCTTTACTTGGAGAGATAGTTGACTGCCAATTTTGGTAGTTTTGGTCGGATTGGCGGGGTCGATGGGAACCTCAACGAGCTCCTCCACAGGCTCTCCTCTGACCAGCTCGTCCTCATCTCGGACGTCAAGCCCTTCAATGATCATTGCCTCCTTCAGCTTGACTTCTTTGAGTGAGGCAACATAACACTTCCTGGCAACTATCTGCTCTCCCCTCACTGTCCCAACCCCCAGATCGGTGGGGAATTTAATGGCAAGGTGGTAAGTTGATGTGATAACTTGAAAAGTGTTTAGGGCGGTGCGGCCAAGGATGATGTTGTAGGCGGAGGGGTAGTTGACAACAAGGAAGGTGAGCAACTTTGTGTTCTGCCGGGGATACTTGCCGAGTGTGATAGGAAGATCGATGGAGCCGATGGAGGTCACTCGATCACTAGTAAAACCGACCAAAGGGGTCTGGAAAGGAGACAAACTTTCCTCCCCAATCTTAAGCTGGCGAAAGCAGTTGAGAAAAATGATGTCTGAAGAACTGGCGTTGTCGATGAGAACTCGTCTGACCTTGTAGTTGGAGAAGAGGGCAGAAATGACGAGAGGGTCATCATGAGGGTAGCGGATGCCTGCGCAGTCGGCGTCCGTGAAGGTGATAGACTCGTTCTCCTGCTTGGGCTATTTGGAGGGTCTGTCCACCGTGGCAACTGTTTTGTCTGAGCCCTGCCTTATCTTTCTGAGCTCTGCTTTCTGAGCCGAGCGAGATGGTCCCCCATAAGCAAGGCCCCCCGAAATAACTCTGATTTCTCCAACAGGTGAGGGGGGATTACCTTGCGGTCGAGGCTGCTATGGAGGGCGATCATGGCCTGGGTTAGGTTGGGCTGGCTGTTGGGAGAGGGTGCGTCAGTGGTTGTTTCTGGGAGGCTCATTCCTTTTCCTCTGCTGAGGGCGGGTGTCCGTGAACCAGCTAAAACGTCCCTAACGCATGAAGGTCTCGACCTGATCTTTGAGGTTGACACACTCATCGATGTTATGGCCGTGGTCTTGGTGGAAACGGCAATATTTGGACTGGTCTTTCCAACCGGAGGGGGTTCGTGATGGTTGGGGCCATTTGAGGGGGTAATCCCGCTGGATCTAGTTGAGGACTTGCTCTATGGGGGAGTTGAGGGGTGGGTACCGCTCGAACCGACTGGGCGGTCGGGCTGGTGCCGACCGGTCGGCTCGAGGGGGTCGGTCTGTATAATGCGGTGTTTGGTTATTGTATTGGGTATTTCTGGCTTCTGGGTCTTTTCGCTTTTCTCGGGAGGTCAGGTTTTTTGTTGTAGGGTCTTAGCGAGCGACTAGGGAATCTTTTGCGTTCATGTATTTTTGGGCTTTGAAAAGTAGGGCTGCCATGGAGGTGGGGGATTTTAGAGAGGGAGAAGAGGAAATCAGATGACCGTAGTCCGGCCATGAAAGCCGTAAGGATGACCTTATCATCGTTTTCCGCCACCTGCAAGGCTTCGGTGGGTGTCCGTGAACCAGCTAAAACGTCCCTAACGCATGAAGGTCTCGACCTGATCTTTGAGGTTGACACACTCATCGATGTTATGCCGTGGTCTTGGTGGAAACGGCAATATTTAGACTGGTCTTTCCGACCGGAGGGGGTTCGTGATGGTTGGGGCCATTTGAGGGGGTAATCCCGCTGGATCTAGTTGAGGACTTGCTCTATAGGGGAGTTGAGGGGTGGGTACCGCTCGAACCGACCGGGCGGTCAGGCTGGTGCCGACCGGTCAGCTCGAGGGGGTCGGTCTGTATAATGTGGTGTTTGGTTATTGTATTGGGTATTTCTGGCTTCTGGGTCTTTTCGCTTTTCTCGGGAGGTCAGGTTTTTTGTTGTAGGGTCTTAGCGAGCGACTAGGGAATCTTTTGCGTTCATGTATTTTTGGGCTTTGAAAAGTAGGGCTGCCATGGAGGTGGGGGATTTTAGAGAGGGAGAAGAGGAAATCAGATGACCGTAGTCCGGCCATGAAAGCCGTAAGGATGACCTTATCATCGTTTTCCGCCACCTGCAAGGCTTCGGTGTTGAAGCGGGTAACGAAACTGCACAGGGACTCCCCCTCGGTTTGGCGAATGTTGAGGAGATGGGTTGCCGGACGACGTTGGCGCTGGGCTCCAATAAAATGGTTGAGGAAGGAGTCACTGAGATGTTGGCAAGTGGAGACGGAGTCTGCTGGTAGCTGGCTAAACCACAACCGAGCTAATCCCTTTAGTGTCACGGGGAAAGCTCGACACATGATCTCGTCAGGGAATGCATGGAGGATCATGAGGGTTCTGTAGGTCTCCAGATGGTCGACTGGGTCCGTCGTGCCGTCAAAAAAGTCGATGGTGGGCATTTTGAACTTGGGGGGTAGAGGTTTGCCCCGGATAGAGGCGACAAATGGTGAGTTTGCTGTGGTAGAGGGTTTATGCTGTATGTTCTGCATGACCCCTTGGAGTTGGAGCTTCATGGCTTGGAGTTCTGCATCCCAGAGAGGGATGTTATCACCACCGGAAGGTAGCGGGGGTTGGACGCTACTGGCCTCTCCTTCAGGGGCCGGTGCCAGGAGCGATAGATGTGGGGGCCGGGGTGGTGGATTCATATTAGGAGGAGGAGGTTGCAAGCCTTCCAAGTTGGGTGGATAGGGCTGCGGGATAGTATGGCTCGGGGCTCGTTCTTGGTTGGGCGAAATGTCGGGAGATGGTGGAGGGGGTATAGGAAGGTTCCTTTGGAGTAGGGCATTTATCAGGACTTGATTTTGCTCGGCCATGCGGTTAATGCTGTTGGTAAACTCGATGAAATACTGCGGTGGGTTGTTTGGTTTGGGGGGGTTGGCTTGGTGGTCGAGAGCATTATAGTGAGAAGCCATGGATCTAGTCGTGACCATACACTTTGACGGGTAGTAAGAAAGGGTTATTGGGACAAGGTCGCCGGTGGCAATGAGTAAAACTGGCGCGCGGAGCCAGGCGTTCCCACAAACGACGCCAGCTGATGATACAGTGATGATGTAACGGGTTCCAAGAAGAGCGGGTCGGACTGATCCACACTTCTCGAACCGGTATCTGAATGATCAAACCCACCAGAGAACTTGCACACGAGTTCAACGGGGAACGGGGAGTCCCCCAGCGAACCCTCCGACGAGCAAGCTAGAGAGAGAAGTAGAGTGTAGAGATGAATTAGAGATAGAAAGCTTAACCTTGTTCTTGTCTTCAACGTTTGTTTATATCCTTTGGTAATCATTTCGTTGTCCCTTCTGACCTGTTACCTTGGCCAAAAGTCTATGTTGTAGCTTACCTTGTTCAAGGTGAGGGCGTGTTGTCCCGACGAAGAGGTGTTGTCGTAATATAAATGCAGTGCGGTGCTGCATTAATGGCGATGTGCAGTGGCAATAACTTTGCAGATCTTTGTCTGCTGATGTTACTTGCCCTTTACCTGCCATGTGTCTGAATATCATTGGTCCTTCATGCCATGTTGACTTCCAGATGGTGCTGGGCCTTATCAGTTGAGTTATGTATTGGGCCCTAAGTGGTGGGCTTGAGTTGTTCATGGTGGGCTATAGCCTTTATGGGCCTACCCATGTCAGATAATAATCTTGTAACCCATGTGGACGCTCCATGGGTTATGGATCATATCCAATCCGATCCAATATGTGAAGTACCCAAAAAAAATTCTCCTTGAATATGCCATAATATAAAACAATTTTAATGATGCATCAATCTAATAGTATAAGCAATAATCAAATCAATCCCATACTAATCAAGAGACGAAAACAAGCAACTTGGCTCTAATACCACTGTAAGGAAATCTGGGTTACCTTAGGCGGAAAAACACCCACGCAGTAAGATCTGAAAGCTTGAATTACGAGCCTTCTTGTTACAGACTCCACGTCAGTAAAGAGGCTACTAGAATCTCCCTTATGGAACACACTCCAAATTTCAAGGTACAAAAATGGTGACCTTGGAGAGATGAACAGAGAGATAAATAAGTTTTGAGTGATCTCCTATGAGTAAACTATGTGGACACTCCATGAGTTATGGATCGAGTCGTCCGATCCAATTCCCAACAGTTATGAATTTTAAAAAGAGTTTTGAAATTTTTTTGATTGGAATCACAATTCCAAAACACAATCAAACGCTACTTTATTTTTTTTCTATCATTATAGATATAAGAATCGAACTTATTGAAAAATAAAACTAATCTCGTTGTGCCCCTCTCCCTCATCAACCATTCCTTCAAAACAAAACAAAACAAAAAAGCAGCCAAATTCAACACAACATACATAATTGCAAGACTTGGCAAACTGCTTCCAGAAAACAACAAGAGACTTTATTGGGTAATTCTATCTGCACAAATACACTTTATCTTAATATATACTATTTGTATTATTCGGATATCAATTTTCGATCAAAAAAGTTGTTCAAACATCAACTGTTGAAAAGTACTTTTGTTTGAACAATTGATTTTTGTTTAGAAATTGATATCAAAACAACTAATTTTTGTTCGAAAGTTGATATCCAAACAATATAATGTGTACTTTGATAGTGTAGTGTGCAAATAGAATTACCTGACTTTATTTGCAAAATCTAGCTCCAATAAGGCCCAAGAATACAAGGGCATTTACATGTTACAGACACACACATTACAGTCTAATTTATTCTGAAAGTCCTCAGAGCCTCATAAAACATAACCATGGTGGAGAGGATAACAAGGATTCTTTAAGTACTAGTTCTATTCTGGGTATCTCACTACCAGAAGAAATTATTAAGTTGGGAAGGAGCTTGTGCATCATCCTCATCATGTGATGGAGAGTGCGCGTGTCTCCCTTCGTACGTTGTTATCACCATTCTTGGATCCTCTGCCAATCTCTCCACACGTTTCTTTACGCGACAATTATCTTGCGTACAACGATAATAACTCCTGCATGCATGATCCAAACAAATGTTATTAATTAGTAATTGAATCGATCAAAAGCGAAAAAAACACAAAATTAATGACACCATACAAGTTCTCATTCATCTTGTTATGTTAAATTTGTGAATGTCGTTTTTTGAGTATGTCATTACACTATATAAGAAATGAAGATATCTACAAGAGGAAAATCAACTATTTTTTGCTGCAAAACTTGATCTCCTGCAAAGGTGCCATTAGTGGAAAAACGATTATGAAATTTCATCACATTGAAAATCACAAAGAAAGTGCTACATCATACCCACTGAGCTAGAATAATATGAATGTGTGTGTATACATATATCCCTCGCTTGGCATGGAGTTGCCAGACTAAAATAGTCATAAAAAAATAAAAATAAATTAAAAAGTGAATATGACAAAATATCACATCCAAACTATAATTATTTCATTTTTTCTATCACAAAAATCAAAAAAGTCACACAGGTTAAAATAGTCAAAAAATTAACCCACTTCCCAAACGAAACCATATGATGCATACTACATACTTAACGGATTCAAGACTTGGGGTTTAGGGGTATGTTTCCTCTAAAATTTTATTTTAAGTTTGAAATCTCCTATATGCAAATAATTTCTTGGAATCGGTCCATAAGGGGCTTTATCCTAACTTTAATTTGTTAGGGAATCAAGGAGTCACAAGCGCGCAACAACACCGGCCCAATTCATCATAGAAACTCCAACAAACACCCTATTAAGGCTCAACATATATTATTTGGAACTCATACCCACTTAAAAGCTTAAGTTTATAAGTGAAGAATCCATCTAATGTATATTAAGACACATCTCTTTTACTCTTTGCCTGATGTGGAATTTTACATTCACACATGCTCTGTTTGGGAAGAAAAAAAATAGTCAAATTTAGGCTAAAAATCACAAAAAGACAAAATAGGCTAAAATAGCTAATAAGACAAAATATCACATCAAACCCATAATCATTTCACTTTTTCTCTCACAAACATCACATCCAACCACAAAAAAATCCAATCATCTTCCCAAACACAAAAATTTTAGCCTACTTAAAATAGCCAAAAACTAAAATAGCCTACTAAAATAGCCACTTCCCAAACGAGGCCTAATTTGGGACCCCTGCAAGTTGACAGTGAGATTGGTCTTCTGAACTATTCGGTCTAACAGACGGGTAATATCTCAGTAATCTCGGAGTATAGACACGTGGTACTCCATAATATTGTGATTGGTGGAGAATGCGAGTACATGGGGTATTGTGTTGGATGATTAAGAGACATGAGAAACCATAATAAATAATGATTGGTTAAAAGTACGAACGATTGTTTATACTCCGAGATTACTGAATAATTATCCATTTTGTCCTTTGAGTAAAATTTTTGTTTATCAACAAAAAAAGATAGGAACTTTATTGATAAAAATCATTATATAAAAATAAACATCAATAAAAAAAAAAAAGCACAAAAAATATCACAACAAAATTAAACGATCCTAATTAAATTGACACTAAAATAACAAACCTAATAATTTACTGTACACCAAGTGAAAAAATATTGTCTCACAGTTGCAGTTCAATGTTTAAAAATGTCCCGATACCAAGCACAATTCCGAAGTCAACATTATTCATCTTTTTGTCAATAAAACCAGGCACAATTCCGAAGTCAATATTATTCATCTTTTTGTCGATATTGAGAGGCTCCGACCACAGTAACTTAGGAAAGCAAGGCATCTTTCATAATCTCTTCTCATATTATGATGTTGTTGGAGCCTCTCAATATTAAATGAGTTGATTATGATTTTTTTTTAATTAATTTATTTTGGATCTGTCTCACATTTTTTATGTAACTTTTATAATAAAAACAACTTAAATAAGTTTTTGTAAAGTTAAAGTATGGTGCTTTTAGATTCACCTCATAAATTAGCAATTATCTACATAGAGTAAGCTACAATAGATAAGCCCAAAAATGGATTGCTCGTCTTTGTTCACCCTTATTTATTTTTTTATTTTATTTTTTTTGGATAACTCGGTATATGGTCCGTTAAGAAAATTATAGAATATTACTAAAGTACCATGTATTCATACTCCTAACCAATTATCATTTATTATGTTTCCTCATACTCCTCAATCACCCAATACAATACCTCATTTACCTATCTTCTCCACCAATCATAATATTATGTAACAACACCAAAAAAGATAAGATTAGTTACAATAACCAATCCTCTCTTTAAAGAACCCATTCAGTCAAATTCAAATTTCACTTAGCTTCCCACCCTTCTTATATGCATTATTTTTTTGTCTTCACAAGAAAAGTAGAGAGATAAAAATAAGATATAAATACCATTACCAAAGAAAAAACATATAAACTTTGACAAAAATTTAGCCATTAATCCACTTAGGTCCCATTTGTTTTCAGAGGGAGAATGGAGAGGATTAATAGTGAGTAGATTAAGTAAAATTGTATTTGTTTTGATGATAATTGTTAGTGTAAGAATTATTAAATTTTTTTATATAAAATAATAAAACAATTAAAAAAATATAAAAAATTAAACATTAATGTTTAAAAAATATTCCCAACATATAAAAAATAAAAAAATTTATAATCCCCTCATTATTTTTCTAATACCACATCCACCTCCTCCATCTCAGTCCCCCTTCCAACATCTATCTTAATCCTCTCCTCCATTCTAATCCATTTCCCAACTCTACAAACAAACAACACTAAATAATCCCACATCTATCATAATCCCCTCTCATCCATTACACCCCAAAACAAACGGTGCCTTAGGGAGAAATAGTAGAAATCTTATTTTTATTCTATTTTCTATTTTTCTGCATATATTTTCGTAAAAATACCTGAAATAACTTATTTGCAAATATCACATCATTCTCTTTATTTTTTTTATGTCTTTTTATAAAAAATTTTAAAAAAATTAAAAAATCAACTAAAATAATTAACCCTCAAACAAATTCTTAAGTGTGACCATAATCAAAGTTTGTTTAAAGTATTAATATTTTTATGAATAAGTCTAGGACCTAGATTTACGGTCTCAGATTTCGAATCAAAATAAGTTGTATAGTAGAAATTAAAATTGTATATTATAGAATTTATGTGTATAATAAATCTGAATTACATGTTGATAATTTCTCAATAAATTTTAAGTATATTATTAGTTTGTTTGTAATATATATTACTGTATTTTTATACCCAACGTACAGTTTTTATACTGTTTGTGTATGAGATAAAAGTTTTGCTTCTAGAAATGGACAAAGCATCTTTTGACTTTTTTAACTCAGTTTAATTTCTATTTGTCAGTTAGTCAAACCTAATTATTCAGGGAATAAATACCCTGCTACAGTCAGTTACAATGAACCCATGAAAGCAACACTAAAATCATGGAAGCATGCACAAGAGGAGAGGGGTTACTTTGCATGGTTTTACATTAGGAAGAGTTGTTTTGAGAAATAGGATAAAAGTTAATTTTTTTAATTTTTTTTCTTACAATGTGTAAAAAAAAAAATAGAAAGATAAATGATTCAAAAAAATGTTTAAAATAAAAAAAATTACTTTTAACCTTTTGTCAAAAGAAGCCAAATTGTGCTCTATCAACATACTCTCCCTTATGTACATGTGAGAGAGTCTCTCAATCAAATATTTAATAAAAATGTAAATAAAGAGAAATTAGGCCTAATTCACTAGGCCTAGTCTAGTTAGTCACCATACTTTTTTTAGGATTTAGTCTTAAGGAGGTTATGGATTCAATTTTCCTTAGTAAGTTAAATTAAGGGAGTGCAAGCACTTAAGTACTTTGTCAAGGATGGTGAGTTTTTTTCCCATGTGTGCTAATCTAATCACTAACAATTAATATTTATTGATCAAAAATAAATAAATAATTAATTAATTATTAAATACTCCTAAAATACTATGTAATATTATATTCTTAGCATTCCTAATAAATAAGAAATCGTCACATACATACACTAAGATAGTTATCATTTGTCTTTCACGGGTGATTATTCAATATTTTCGAAGTATGGACACGTAGTGTTCCATAGAGTTTTGATTGGTAGAGAAGAGTAAGAGCCCATATGTTGGGGATGAGAAATAATATGAGGCTAAGTTTTGCTTCTAGAAATGTAAATAAGAAATCGTCACATACATGCACTAAGATAGTTATCATTTGTCTTTCATTACATAACAAAAGTGAATCTACATGTGTTACTTATAAAAAAATTTATTACATGATTAGTTGTTACTCTCAAATTATTGAACAATTACACTAAATAAGAGTGTTAGTAAACTCTTTTTTTTTTTTGCAAAGTACACAAGAACTCATTGCCACAGTTTTCTTCTTGGGAGAGGCTCCTCTCCAGCTGGGATACCCAACTAGAGGATGTTGTTGGGCCTTCATGGGCTCACTACAGAACGTGTATCAATGATCCAAATAATTCAATATATAGAATTCGTTGATCATTTCATCTATGTAAAAAATCGCATTGATCGGATATCGATAACCATTTGATTAGATCATATTTTTATAAATAATTTATTTTAAAAATCATACTTATCATTGACATAAATATGATCTGATCAAGTAACTATCGATATCCGATCAACGTGATTTTTCGTAAGGATAAAACACCCAATGAACTTTACATATTTGAATAATTCGGATTATCGATGCGGATTTCATAATGAACTCATAGAAGTCCAACAACACTCTTCAGTCCGATTTGGACCAGAGAGAAACTGTGGCCTTCTTTTAAGTAGTGCTCTTAAACCTTGTGCCTTCTTGGCAGGTGGTTTCAAAGTCCTCAAGGCCCTTCACGAACACAATATTCAGCTGGGTGAAGTAAAATATTCCACATTCAACAATACTATGCATTTAAAAAATTAATTTAGAAAAATAGGTACAATAGCAATTGTGTGATTAAAATTTATTTTAAACATAAATCTCACGATAAAAATTTAAAAAAAAATAAAAAAGTTCAGTCAACACCCTACATTACTTTTCTAATTAAGATTTTGGACAAGTAATTTTTCTGTTGGACATTTGAGGAGCCCTAAAATTGACTGGTTACTTAGTCCAAAACATTCATCATGACATTACCAGTTTAAATGTAAAAGAAACATTGTATATATAAATGAATTTTTGTCTAATTTTCTTATTTGCAATAACAAGTTATAGGTGTATTTATTACTGCAGACTCCATTCCACTAACTTTATATCTTTTAATAAGAAAATTGAGTAAACAATTAATCTGCTTATACATAGCATTATTTTCAAGAGTCTAGGTGTCAAAGTATTCGGTATGATTTCTATAATTTTTATTTATAGCTTATAGAATAAAAAATAAATTAATTATTTAAAATAATAATTATTAAAAAGGTGAAAAGAGAATGTGGATGATGGAGGAAAGAGAAAGAGATAATCGTGTAGGTAGGTAAAAGAGAAAGAGAAATGAACGAATGATAATACGCCATGTGTGTATTAATTGGTTCGGATTATCAAAACTGGGCCTCAAAGTGGACCCGAAGGCCCCTGCAAGGAGGGAATAAAGGAGGGGGCTCAAGGAGGGGATCTGGACTCCCTCAAAAGTGGAAAGTATCACTCACGCATTTTACTCTCTGACATTATAAACATTACGGGGACATTTATATATAAATTTTAATTTGCGAACTTATATTTTATTAGATTTTAATTAAGATTTTTTAAATTTTTAAAATTTATTAAATTTTTAATAGTTAAAATTATTTTTTAAATAATAATTATTTATCATTTATAATTATCTATAAATAAAAAAAATGATGATTTAATAATTATTTTGATTTTCAAAACTTTGAAACATCAACTTTCAAATTGAAAAAACTAAAAAAAAAAAAATTATGTGCAGAAAAAAATAAATGGTTTTTTTTTTTAAACAAATGAAAAAACTGAATTTTTTTTTGTGCAAAATTTTAAAAAAAAAAATGTGTCTATAAAGGAGTATGACGATGAAACATTGATGTGTAAAACTGGAAAAAAAAAATTAAAATGAAAAAACTAAATAATGTTCTCAGTTTTAATATTAAAAAAAATTAATAATATTCTCGATTTTATTAAATAAATGAATCAAACTAATAAGTACAAGTGCAAAAACGTTTAATCTCATACTCTCTCTTTTTCATCAGTTAGTGAAACATTTAATTAGAATATTACTCTGCAAAATTGATAATATTCTTAGTTTTAAAAATTAAAAAAAAAATAATATTCTTAATTTTAGAAAATATAATTTATTAGTTCAAAAAATCTTAGATAGATTTTTAGCTATCATAATAAGGTTTTTAACTAATTAACTCAACATTAAAAAGTTGACTTTGCACTTTTCACCTAAATCCAAATCATATTTATAAAGGGATCCCAATATGGGATCCAGAAGTGATTTTTGAACATTTAATTCCTATTAAGGTTGTTTTTTTTGGTTTATGAATTTGATGAGCAATTTAAAATTGAAAGGAAAAAAAGTAGATAAAATATAAATAATATATAATTATATTACACATTTTTTTTTATTTTCCTTTGTAAATTCCTTCTCAAATCTATAAAATCAAACACAACCTAAGATCTATTTGACATCTAATTTTTTTTGAAAAATACAAAAATCTTAGTTAGCAGACAGCTTTTAAGAAACCTACTATCTTACATCAGAGTGGCATGTTCACCAGAGGTTGTGAGTTCAAACCCCCATATAGGACATTGGGGGTGATTTTCTTTCTTTTCCCCTTAAAGTCTAATTTAAAGTAGATTCTAACGAGTGAAAAAAAAAACAAAAAAACAAAAAACTTTTAAGAATTTTTTTTTTTGAAAAGACCCCCTATTTTGCTCAAAACAAGCCCACTTTTTTTTATAAAAATGCCAAAATGTTGTTTCCAATTCTACAAAAAACTATTTTCACACTAAAAATGAAAACACTATAACAATGCGTGTTTTTAATCTTTTTCATTGTATTTTTTTTTCCCCCCAAACACACAAAAACAAAAGGTAAGAGTGTATTTAAGTGGAATTGGAACTTTAAATGAAGGTACAAATTAGAGAAAGTGAAGGTTATCTTATGTCATAACTTTTATTTATTAGGCTCTCTTATACCTTTATAAAAGTACAATTATTTTGAATTATGTAAAAACGAATGTTAAGAGATCATTACATGAGAGAGAACTGGTATTAACTATTACTCTATTTTGCTTCATTGTTCCACCTTGGCAACTACTTGGAGGAGTATTAGTACTTCAACATTACCATCTTAATCACAATAATAGAGTTTCCACAATTGTAGAATTTTGATCTCCTCATTGTGGAAGGTGTCCCACCCCTTACTGCATTTTTATTTTATTGTTTGATTCATCGTGTTCCACTATACTTTTGCTATCAGCTGCTTTTAATCTTCGGCACATTTTTTGTCTATGAATTTTTTTTTATTTTGAGTTAATAAATTTTTTATCCAATAAATTTTAAAAAATAAAATCTTTGGCTCATTATTAGTCTGTCATTCTGATTTTAGTCTTTTAAGACTAATAATTAGTTCTTTATGCCAAAATCCATTGGAATAATTATTAATGGCTTGATGATTTCAATGTACATTATTTTTTCTTTTTCCTCCTAAAGCCTAGAACAATGATAGCAAACAACTATAAGGGAAGAGATCTAGAGAGATTATTAGAGTACCTTTATTATTTTTTACAACTTTGTATTTGGCTGATTGGATCGATTAATTCGAGATTAATTTTACCGTTTACTTTTGCAAGGTCCAATTAAAGTTTGGGTAAAACCTTGTATGGATTGGCCTTAAAAAATTATTTACCCCTAGTTTACCTAATATAAACTGGTCTCAAGAAATTATTTGTATTTAAGAAATTTTGAACCTGAGATTTTAGAGATCATGAATGGAATACACCCTAGAACGGCCAATCCTAGAGGTTGATTATTAGAGTACATATAAGCTCAAACCCAATGTATTATTAAACAGAAATAGATAGGAATTTGATGAGTTAATGATGGGTAATTTATATACCTGGGATGAAGGGTGTTCTTGACCACTTTCTGGCCATACTTCCTCCACTTGTAACCATCATCCAACACATCCACATCACTCATGGTCTTGAAGCAAAATCTTGGCTCTCTCACCTTCCTTCTCCCTTTTATCTTCTTCATTTTCATCTTCATCTTCATATTCACTGCAGATATTCCAAGATGATCATCTCCTCCACTGCCACTTCTCTTATAGCTCATGCATTCATTTACTTCTCCCCATGCCCTGAATCACATCAATTTCAACCATGCATGCCCAACTCATGATTAGATATGTCTATAAATACATAAAGCATGCTGTAACTTTATATGTGTGTACATTGTAATAAGTATTTTTTTTCTTAATCGTATGGGTATCTGGGAGAGAACATGTACTCCTCATTCTATATATACAATTAATTATAGGCATAAAGTCTAAGATGGCCTCAACTCAAGAGAAACTAAGAACTGAAACTTGAGCCATTGATCCGAGCCATTGATCCATCCTTTTAAATTTCAATTTTATGAAGACTTGACTTCTCATATGAGACGTACAGACTTTTTTCTTTTTCTTTTCTTTTTTTATTATCGGTTTAGTAGTTAGTTATTAGATTAACGTTTAAAGAGAGTTGAACTTCTTCTCTCCTAAGAATTACATCTAAGACCTCCTGACTTGATAGTCAAAGGACTAGCCACACAGTCTAAAACTCCTAGGTTATGAGATGTACTACAGACTTGGCCAACTAAACTATGCCGATTACATGTGTAAAAGAAAAGAAAAGAAAGGAGTGCATGAAAATTATGGAACTTTTTGGTGGTTGTTCACAAAATCTAGGATCTTATTACCAGAGATTTGCACTTGATCTTTGCAAGGAGAGTTGGGGACCTCCCAAATGTGTAGTGAAGTCTTGTCTTTGCTTTGAAGTTGCAGAAGAAGAGAGGAGGGTTTCAGATGGATTGGATGATGGTACATCTGCGGCTGCAAGTGTAGGGGAGGAGGGTATGGTTGTTAGGGTTTTGAGAGATTGATGATGACAGCCAGAGCCATGTATTGGAGGCATGGACATGTTTGGAGCAAAAGAAAAGAAACCCATTTGTGTGGACATCTCTTGATCCTCAAACAACCCCTGGTTGAGCATGGCCTTGAGATGTGGTTGATTCTCTCTCTCTCTCTCTCTCTCTCCTGAGAATGGTGTAGCAGATCAAAACAAAGTATCTTCTAGGTTTCTCTTGATCACACCGAGACTCTTTCTAGAAGTAGTCTAGGTTAGAAGAACTCTACGAGAGACTCTTTCAAATTTTGTGTGGACATCTCTTGATCCTCAAACAGCCCCTGGTTGAGCATGGCCTTGAGATGTGGTTGACTCTCTCTCTCTCGCTCTCTCTCTCCTGAGAATGGTGTAGCAGATCAAAACAAAGTATCTTCTAGGTTTCTCTTGATCACACCGAGACTCTTTCTAGAAGTAGTCTAGGTTAGAAGAACTCTACGAGAGACTCTTTCAAATTTGTAGGATTAGAATCTGAGAAAGATATTGATCAAAAAGATAGATATGAAAGTAACCAAGTACCCATAAGATAAGTGACTAGCCACTTGCCTCTCTCTCTCTCTCTCTCTCAGACCGTTTGCAGTTTCACTCATTTCACCCCACTTAAAAGAAATATATATATATATATATAGGGAAAAGTTAAGAATGAGGAAAAAAAATTTATGAAAATAATCATGAAAAATTTATAATTTTTGGATTATTTTGATTAGTGTATGGTATTTTATTCTAAGTGTAATTCAAGAGTGACAAAGTTTTTATAATTATTTTTATAAAAAAAATTTCATAATACCTAACATTGCTAATATATATATACATATTTGTATGCTTTGAAATATAACTCCAGAGTCGGACAAAGTACTAATTGACTAATTTAAGCTTGCAATCAATAAATAGTTCACAAAAAGAAAGGAATCACCCAACAGCAGATAGGAAAAGTAAATAAATACATAAATACAAAAATATGGAAGATTGTAATTCAGAGTTACATCCGATTCTAAGATGAGTTCCACTTATCATGTCTGTGTATTTTTTTTTTTTATTTCTATTGTTAAATAATTAGAAAATTTACAATTAAGTGGTATGAATTTTTACAAAATATTTATAAATTTACAAAAAAAAAATTATAACTTTAATTATTAAAATTGATAAATTTTTTCTGCATCTGTAATTTTTTTTTTTAAATTTGCACTGAAGTGCAATTTCTCCTAAATAATTCCAAATGAATAAATAAAAGGAAATACTGTAATACATGTACAGTAGCCTGCACAGACTAACTTTGAAATGAAGTCAATGTTGGCAGGCAATGTGGCGTGCCACACATCCTAATTTGACCTTGAATAATACAATGAAAAATCCTAGTCTTTATTATGTCCAGAAAAAACTCAATAAATATAATTTTGACGCAAAGAGTTATGTAATGAATTTGACTTCTTTCAAGTTTGTCATTTGAATTTGGGACGGTGTTTAAGTTTGATAGGCTCATTTTAAAATTGATGTCAGTAATTTGAATCGTTCACTTTTTAAAATTTATTGAGTAAAATATTCATACAAAAAAATAAGATAATTGGCTACCAATAATTATATGTTTGAATCACATTATGCTACAAAAAAATAGACGGCTTAAAATTATATTTATTGTTCAATTTTTTTTTAAATAAATATGATTCAAATATATAACTATCCAAACATCTTTCAAATTATGATAACTTAAGAAAAGTCAAACCCATGAGTTAGGCAGTGTTTGGTTTGCCCGTTGAGATTAGTCTTCTTTTTTGTTTAGCGCATGTTTGGTCTATCCATCTAATGTGTCCTTTTATTTTTATTTTTTTGGTTGCCATTGAATTTGCATTTGACTAGCTCTATTTCATGTTTCACCGTAACTAAAATATGACCTTTAAGCTATGATGTTTTTGTCCGGGTCTTTTGTGCCTTCTTGATGTAATTTTTATACATCTTATACTTTTTTTGCAAAAAAAAAAAAAAAAAAAGCCAAACCCGTAAGGTAATTGTTGTGGTATGTTTTGCTACATATTTTGATATCATACAGCTCCTTGGCTGCATGAAAATTTTATGCATATGGGTTGAAGAATAAAAAGGAAAAGAGATGACTGCACAATAATGAATTAAAAATTGGAAATAAGTGAAAAATTGAGAAAGAAAAAAAAAATGTTGTATGAATCTGTGAAATTTTAGGGTTTCTTTTGGGCATAAAAAAGAAATATCAAGAGCAATGATGATGAATCTTGGGTGCCAATCTCTTCATCTCTGCATTTGCAATTGAAGATATCATTATGATTGATGAAATAGGGCCTATTTGACTTTTGGCAGAAAAAGAGGGCAAAAAATCCACAGCTTTCTATAGTTTTGCTAATTAGCTTTTCATCCATCCCCCCAACCCCACATCTACCCACCACTTTTCAAGTTCCAAACCACCCTATAATATTGTTATCATCTCTTCAATTACACACATTAATCAATGGTAACTTTATTTTTTCTTTTCCTTTTTTTTTTTTTTTTTTTTCTCCTTTCTAGTTAAAACAAAAATTTGTGAGTGGGCCATGGCTTTGCCATGATGCTGATTGCATGATACTAGCCATTGATGGGCATCTTTCATTTAACCATAATTTTGTAATTTAGAAGTAGATGGGACAAAATGAAGCACATGTGATTGGCCTGCCATTATTATTGATGAATTAAAAGGAAGCCTTGTATCACATTAATTGTATCAAACTTTGCTGGTAACCAAGTAGATTGGGTTGGGGTTGGAGCTGGGGCTATACTAACGTATGTGTGTGTGTTTTTTTTTCTTTCTTAAATACATTTAAAAATTCCCTCTATATCCATTTTTATAAAACACAATTAATGTCATTATATAGAAAAGAATGGGTGTGGAGAAAAATTTGGAGTTGATTGGTCCCATACTTTAGTTGAAGTCGAAAAGATTGATAATTCTTGGGTTAAGTCTTGTGTTGTAGGAGTAGTTAGGAAATTTAAATCCATCCCTATGATTGAAGAAGCAATGAGGTGCGACAATGTCAACTATGTTACAATCAAACCATTAGGAGGTTTAAAGGTTTTGCTACAATTCAATTCTAAGGAAGATATGAAGGCAATGGTTCAATGGGAAAATTGGTTGGAACTTGGTTCGAAGTCGTGTACAATTGGCATTACAGAGAATTCACGCTTCTAAGAGAATTTGGTTGGCTATTGAAGGTGTCCCCCTTAATGCTTGAAATTCCAGCACCTTCACCAAAATTGCTAGCATCCAGGGCAAAGTCAAATTAAGCTCCATTTTCTCATTTACCAAATTAACAGTCATCAATCTCCTCTCAAGCTATTTGAAGTTGTAATAATCAAATTTGCGAGGAAAGAAGGACCAACTCTCCTCAATTCTCACCCAGTGACCAGGCTAATCAAGCCATCCAACCAACCAAAATTTTAGGTATCGATTTGATGGAAAGAGAAGAAGTTTTTCTAAATGATTTTATCGAAATTGAGTTAAACAAGAAGGTAAAATTCAAAACAAAACACAAAAAAATCAAAAGGCACAAGCAATGAAGCTTCTCTCATGGAATGTTAGAGTAGATAAGCAAGAGAAGTAACACATGGTTAGAAATCTTGTGTCATCTCATAACATTGAAATGGTTTGCATGTAAGAATATTTTTTTTTTTTAATATCTGATAAAATGATCAAAAGAATTTGGGGTAAAGGTGATTTTTATGGAAATCAGTTAATGCATTATGATCTGAGAAAACAATGAGGACAATGAAGAAATCCAGAAAACAATTCATCTTCTTGATTCATGAAGTACAACCATCACCAGTATTTATACACAGCCTCAATACTCTAACTAACTAACAAACTCATCTAGCAAACTTAGTTACAATAGGAATATTATCCTGTACTGGTAGTGCGTACTGTACAATATATCTACACTGATTTAATCCTTAGATACATCAGATATGACTTCCTTATCAGCCCTTCTCAAGCTCAATGGAGCAGGAGTAGCCTTGAGATTGGAAATAAGAAAAGAAAATCTAGCAGTGGATAAGGACTTGGTAAAGATGTCTGCAAGTTGGTGCGAGGTATGAACATATCTGAGAAGCAATTTGCGAGCTGCAACCTTCTCCCACACAAAATGGCAGTCCACTTCAGTGTGTTTGGACCTGTTATGAAAAACAAGGTTGGCTGCTAAAGAGAATGCATACTAATTATCACACCAAACAACTGGAAGAGAAGATTGAGGGATGGAGAACTCTTAAAGCAGCATTTTAAGCTAGGCTAATTCAGCAGTGATGTGGGCAAGAGACTTGTATTCAGCTTCAGTGCAGGACTGAGAGACGGTGGGCTATTTCTTTAAAGACCAAGAGATGAGATTGGCACCTAAAAAGATACAATAGTCGAAGGTGGACCGTCTGTCGGAGGGATCTCCTACCCAATTAGCATTAGTATAAGCATGCAACTAAAAGGAACTTGGTGTGAAAACCAGGCCAGGAGAGAAAGTGCGCTTAAGATATCTCAAAATCCTTTTAACGACAACAAAATGACTAACAGAAGGGGAGTGCATGAGCTGGCAAGCTTGATTGACAGCAAATAAAAGCTCCGGTCTGGTGATAGTATGGTATTGAAGAGCACCCACAATACTTTGATACAAAAAGGGGTGAGAACGAGACGAAGTATCAAAGGCAACCACAGATGGTTTGGAAGAAACTAGGGTAGCACAAGTTTGCAGTCAACCATGCCTGCTTTAACAAGCAAATCAGAGGCATACTTGTATTGATTAAGAAAAAAACCATTGGAATGAGACTGAACAAAGATGCCAAGAAAATAGGAAAGACAGCTCCTTCATGGAAAAGACAAGATGCATATGAGATAAGAGAGTTTGGATAAAAGCTTCATTAGTACCAGTAAGAAGAATATTATCAACATGGATGAAGAGATAGGTAAGAGAAGAAGAAGTCTTGTGAACAAACAAACAAGTATTACATTTGCTGTTGAGAAACCCTTAAGAAAGAAAAAAAAATAGGAGAATGTAGAATACCAAGCTCTAGGAGCTGGTTTGAGGCCATAGAGGGCTTTGTGGAGTTTACAAACCAGAAAAGGATTAGAGGGATCAATAAACCTAGGAGGTTGTTTCATATACACTTCCTCTTCAAGTTTGCCATGCAAAAAGGCATTTGAAATGTCCAATTGCTTAATAGGCCAATGATGATGCAAGGCCAAGCAAAATAAAATTCGAATGGTAGGTT